AGGTCCCTGTGTGGATTTGCTGTTGTTAGCTGCTGTGAGTCAGCCTCTGACTCATGGTCACCCCATGCACAACAGAATGAAATGTTGCCATCCCATGATGCCTTGCATATCAGCCTGCTGTGATCTTTGAGACTTTTATCAGCTGATTTTCACAAGTAGATCACCACTTTTCTTCCTAGTCCATCTTAGTATGGAAGTGCAACCGAAATCTGTTCAACATCATAGCAACACTCAAGCCTCCGTTTGCAGACAGGTGGTGATTGCACAGGAGATGCACTGGTCAGAAATGGAACCAGGGTGTACAAAAATTCTACAACTGAACCGCCAATGCCTTATGTGGATTTAAGAATACAAAATGAAGCTTTACATATCTCTGTTTGTGAATCAGGTGATCACAGTGATCATACTTGAAAGATGTGACAGGCAGTGGAACAGTCCAAGAAAAAGTTCTTCCCCTGAACACTCGCCAATGGTTGGAGAAAAAAAATACCACAGTTTTTTCCTTACCGAAAGGAGAACACTTGCCCCATTCAGACAAACCTGGCTTTGATTCCAGCTCAGCTACTTGGCTGGGTGATCCTAGGAAAGTCACTGCACCTTCCTGAATCTCCGGTTTCCTAAGGCTAACGTAAGGATATTAAGAAGACTGCCTTTTCAGGGCCATAAGAATACAGAAATGTCCAAATGAACCAGTTCCCCCAGAAGCCTTAGCTCAGCATAGCCCCTCCCCCTATACACAAGTGCCTGATAAATGTTAAATAGTCTCCTTCTGGCCAGGACAAAAATCTGAGAAAGCAGAGCCACAGAGACCTCTGGACTCAACCTGGTGTGTGGTCCAGAACCATGGGGACAGGTATGGAGAGAGTGGTATGGCTACATGTAAATAGTTAAGAGAGGCTGAAAGTCAGGTTCTTTCACAGGACTTCTCTGCAGGCTTCTCATATCACTGGACTCCCCTCAGTAGGGCTGGGGGCTGCCAGGAATGGGGAGGTAGGTGAGGGGGACATATCCACTTTGAGGACATATCCCTCTTCCCCTGGAGTAGTGGGTAGGAGATGTGCCCAGCCCAGGGTGTGACTTAGGCCTTTCCAGGTCAGAGGATAAGGTGGGGTGGACAGGGGTTCCTGTCAAGCTGCAAATGGGAAGGTCTGGAGAGCGGAAGGATGTACAGCTCAAGGCTGCATATATACCTCCCTGTGTATGGGTGTGTGTGAGGTGTGCACACACATGGTTGACGGCCCCTTAGGGAAGGGAAAGGCTGGCAGAGAGACAAGGTCTCTGCCCTCTCCTTCCAGTTAGCCTGAGTGAGTCCTGAGTTCTCTTCTAGGCTGGACTACTGACCCTATGTATGACCTTGGCTGGACCCTTAACTCAGCTCTTCGGCTCAATTCACGCTTCCATCCAAAGGGGACTACCTGGGACTGCTTCTGAGTCCGAAAGGTAAGGGAGGAGTACTGGGATGAAAGAGTCGGCACCCCGATTCCGGAGAATCCGAGTACCGATTCCGGAGAATCCGAGTACCGTGCTCTGCCAAGTCCTCCAGTCTTCCCTGCCCCAGTCCCCATCCCCGCCTCCGCCACACTGATTCTTCCATCCTTCCACAGAAGCGGCAACCTCAGCACTTACTTAATCCGGGGCGCCGAAATCAGTCGGAGAGGCTGGAGGTGGTGGAGGCGTACGCAAGACTGGGGCTGGGGAAACCCGGAGGCCTGGGGTCGGCAGAGATGGCAGGTTCGACTCGTGGTCCTCCCTCTCTGCACGCTCTAAGTCGTGAACTGGATTCGCTACGGCCCACTGCAACTGCTAGCACCATCTCAGCCGGCTTAGACCAGGGTGGGCACGGCTGGAACCGACGGTGGGGGTGGGGCCGAGCTAGCAGCCTCCGGGGGTCCCAGATGCTCCAGCGCCCCGCCTCCCTGCCCGCTCTGCGCCCCTATCCTAGGATTGGCTGCCAGGCCTGGAATTCGCGCGCCATTGGTCCGCTCGCCTGTCACTTGGATATGGATACGCCTCCAGAGGGAGCCAGGAGCTGAGTGGCAATCCTCCACAATCACTCCTAACCCCCGCGACCAGCGTCAAAGCCGGCTGGTTGCTAGGCCCTTCACGGACCAGAACACAGGTCCCTACGTAGTTCAGGGTTCGCCCCCATCGGGGCAGAGTCGCGCCCCCAAACGCAGGCGCACGAAGGAGGCTTGGGGAGAGCACTGGACTCGGAGTCCTTGAACCTGCGTTGAATTCTACTGACTTTGTGACCTTGTGCATGCTGCTTTCTCTCCCTAGGCCTCGTAGTCTTCCTGCTCTAATGGAGCTCGGATGTGAGGACTCTTCGTAAATGACCCTCACCCTAGACTTGTTAAATGTCATGCAGTCGGTTCCGACTCATAGCGCCCCTGAATAGTTTCCGAGTAGCAGCTGGTGGGTTTGAACTACTGACCTTGTGGTTCGTCCAGTGCTGATCCTACAGCGCCACAACAGGAGTCACCCTAAGTTGTTGTTAGGTGCCATTGAGTCGGTACCGACTCATAGCGACCCTATGCACAACAGAACGTAACACTGCCCGGTCCCAGGCCAACCTCACTATCATTGCCACGCTTGAGCCCATTGATGCTGCCACTTGGCCAATCCATCTCTCTGGGGGTCTTCCTCTTTTTCTCTGACCCTCCACCTTACCAAACATGGTATCCTTCTCCAGCGACTGGTCCCTTTTGACAATATGTCCGAAGTATGAGATATGAAGTTTGGCCATCCTGGCCTCAAAGGAGCACTCTGGTTGCACTTCTTCCAACATAGATCTGTTGGTTCTTTTGGCAGCCCATGCACTTTTAATATTCTCCTCCAACACCATAACTCAAAAGCATCAATTCTTCTACCTGTGTTTTGAACTGAGCCACGAATCTCAGTTTAATAAGTGCTCCCTTTCCCAGTATATTTTGATGAGGAGGCTCGGCAGTCTACACTTTACAGGGCATTGTCATGACCTGGTTTTTAGAGAAGAAACTGAGTGAGAGCTGGGCACGTAAACAAAATCCAAGTTAGCAACAAGTTAGTAACAATCAGGCAGGATTTGAACCTAGATCTCCAGAGTCGAGGTTCGAACACCCTGCGTCAAACCCTAAACAGTCTGACCCAAAGTGTTCGGAATGAAAGGAACTGGAATGATAATGCGATCCAGTCGCCACTGGTCCCTGTTGCGCTCCCTCGCTCGCTCGGGCCACAACTACCTTTGACCAGCTCGGGGACTTTGCATTCCTCCCCCAGCATTAGGCCCTGCCCAGGCGCTTTTTCCACCAGGCCCAGGGGCCATGATAGACCACGCCCCTAGACGTCGGGCCCCGCCCACAGGTAGCTAGTGACGTGCTGTCTACTCTAGGGTTCTGCCTACACTGGATTCTGTCCCCACCTCTGAACACTGTCTCCGAACAGTCGTGGTGGGCTGGAGTCATATTCCGGCCAAGACCTTCGGAAAGCTCTGCGAGTCTGGGCTCCAGGGAGCAACCACTCATACATCTACGCCTTTCCCACCCATGGACTTGCGGGCGTAGTGGACATTGCGTTCGCAGCCTTCCTGCTGGAATCTGGCGACCCTAGGAACTCTGGAGCCGAGGTGGTGGGGGCCGCCCGAGCCCTTATCGGCTGCACCTATTCCGGAAACGGGTATTTGAGGGAGCACACCGCAGGACGCGCACGCTCAAGGACTTGACAAGAGACAGTTTCTCCACGCCGGAGAGCGGTCGCTGGAGGGCGCGTAGGGCATTCCCTCGGGCAGGTATGGACTAGAGGTGAGATCGAAGTGGTGGTGCCTGGACTTGCAGTGCTCTTAAGGCCTGGACGGCCCCATTTCCCATAGTACTGATGGAGAAACTGGCCCGAGTAGGAGGCCACCCCTCCTGGCTCACTAACGCTGTCATTCGGAGCTGAAAGGGAGGCCACGCCCACTGTTTTCAACCCTCGGCTCCTCAGGTGGCAGCGCGCAGGTGAACAGAGCTGCCTCTGGAATCTACCTAATCCGAAATTGTGTTCTGCCTGGAACGTTCCCTAACTGGCCTCCACTCTCGGAGCTTCTGTTTCTTCTCTGAGATGGAGGTTTCTTGTCTCTGAAGAGCTTGCAGTCAGCATATGCTGTATAAATAAATGCTTGTTTATATCTTAGAAAGAAAGGGACTAGTGATTGATTTTCAACTACATTCTTAGTTAAGCTTGTTCGTGACAATTTAAATGTAAAATTAACAAAAATTGTAAAAGTTGTTGGTTGGCAATTTATGCTGACGGCTGGGATTATGGATTAAATTGGGGGCAAGTTTTAGCATTCAGTGACAGTACATGCAAAATGTGTGACGCAAAGCTCTCAAACAAAGGCACTCGCCTTCTTTTCGTAATATTATTTGGGAGTATGTGACATTAAGTTCCTGCTTTGTGCTGAGCTCCCAGCTGGGCCTTGACATTCACTGGCTAGTGTACTGTTCACTGTGGGGTTGGTGTTACTCTTACCATTTTACTGATGAAACAAATTCAAATAATGGCTTGCTCAAGGTCACATATGCAGGGTCAAATGATGATCTGTCTAAGCCTAAAACCTATGCCCCACTCAACACCAGGACTTTTAGCAGGGACTGAGTTATGGGTTCATCCCTCTTCAAGAAACATTAAGAAAATACAAAACATTTAACTCAAAACATAACTGGCCAGGAATCAAATGGATGGGTGAAGATCTAAAATGGAGCAAGAGCGTGACTCCTCTCAGGCAGTGGGTGGAAAGCAAGTTCTAGGCCTGCATGGGGTAGAGGTGGAAGTCTCTCAAAGTTGAAGCACTTTCTGGTTTCCCCCATTCCAGGGTGGCAGCAACATCTGAGAACCATAGCCGCTTTGGGAAGCTGGAGCCTGTGATCTCGCTATCTCCACCTGTCTGGGACAAGTGACACCTTCAGAGCCCACCTCAGTGGCTGACATCACAAGAAAGACTTGGGGACTTGGGAGTGCTGAGGACAATCTTTCCCTGAGACATGAAGGTTTGGGGTAGAATTCTGTGGACCCTCTTGCCTGGTCCGAGAAGGAAAGGAGGCATCTGGGGCTCATGGGCACCCCATGCACCTCTAGTTAGGCTGATGAGTGCCACAGAACTGGTTAGTCACTGGGCAGCAGTCTTTGAAGAGAAAGGCATCCCTGAGGCACGGGAATCCAGTGAGTACATCGTGGCTCATGTCCTTGGAGCCCAAACAGTTAAGTGCAGTGTTGTCAGAAGGGTGTGGAAAGAGAGGACCCTGGGGAAAAGACATCTAGGCTTTTCTGTCTCAATGAGACGGGGGCTCATCAGCTATAGTCATTTATATGTCCCTCGGCTTAGCTGAGACTGATGGGATTTTTCCAAAGGAATGTCTTGGTGGTGGTGGTGGTTGTGTACCATCAAGTCAGTTCCAACTCATAGCGACCCTGTATAGGGTTTCAGAAGCTGTAAATTTTACTGGAGCAGAAAGCCTCATCTTTCTCCTACTGAGCAACTGACAGCTTCCAACTATTGACTTTATGATTAGCAGCCCAGCTTGTAATCCATTATGCTTTCAGGGGTCCTTGAAGAAATGTCTTAGGCAGATGTTTATTCATTCATCCAACAAACTGTTGTGGCACCTGGGCACAGGGGTTCAAGGACCAAAATGGCCATATAAGAAATGTCCACATAAGAAATCCGGTTGGGATTCTTGGGCTCCTAGAACCAGCCACTTATAGTCTCTTTGGGATCAGTTTCAGAGCCTGAGGCCAGCACTTTGGACCCAGTCCTTGACTCCTCAACAGCTACAGTGTGTCCAGGAGATGAGTAGTCACAGATTACAGAGGTGAGTACCCATGGTCTAAGACTGGGCTCTGTGTGAGATGCTGGGATCCCCCAATCCCATGAAGTCCAAGGGAGAAGGAACATGTTCAAAGACTTGGGAGGTATCAGGGCAGTGAATGAGAATGGAGGGAAGGATAAAAGGCCTTGGCCAGGAGTCCAGGGCACAGGAGACACGTTTGGCCACTAGTGATATCCCGTAACCCAAGTGTGATTGTGCCGATTTTGGCTCTGTTCTCAGTATCATCTTTTGCAGGATGCCGGTTCAGTACATCCTTGGGGAGTGGGACTTCCAGGGCCTCAATCTGAAGATGGCACCCCCAGTGTTCATCCCTCGGCCAGAGACAGAGGTGAGTTCAACTGGGCAGGGCAGGACAGGATGAAGTTTATGGAGTTCTGAGCACTTGTCTTTCCCTAGATTTCCTCCAGGGGGCACTGAGGCTCCATGTCTGCTGTGTTCCTGGACAGTGCCTTTCCTTTCAGTGTCTCCCACTGTTCCTCTTGACTGTCCTCTTCTGATCCTGCTCAGGGTATTCCAACTGGTGCTGCTCACTGAGTGTTCCTGTCATTTTCCTGGGACCTTTTCCAGGATCCAGGAAGGTCCCAAGACCCACCCAGCCTATGGGAAACAACCCCCTGCAGTTCTCAGGATGCATGGGTGAATCTCAAAGAGCTCCAGGTCTCAGAGAGCTAAAGGTCCAGTCTCAGCTGTGTAACCTTGGACAAACCACTACCCACTTTGGTCCAGATGATGAGAGGGTTGAGCCTCTAGACCAGAGAATCTATTATTCAGTTGTCCTTATAAATCAACTCTCTGGTCAAGTAATCACCTGTGCTTATCCCCCAAATTATTAGAACTAGGAGTGTATGACCTACATGCGGTCCTTAGGTGAAGCCCCGATCCTGAGGGGATGCTTTCTGTGATTCTTCTAAGCCTCTCGTTGACCTTGAAAGTGACAGAGCTGAGATCAACAGAGAGCAACTCAAGTGAGGGGCATGACGGAAGCTGGGCAGGTTGTAAGGATTATTTCTGGAAGGATATCAGGCACCCTAGGCAAGGAAAGGACAGGCTCCATCCACCTGTCCCAGGCAAGGACATGGAGCCCTTCCTCACTCCTCCAGTCTCTGCCCAGCCAAGACATGCTCTGTCCCCTCTCACTCCCACATCTTGAAGTTGGGAGGATAGGTCCTTGCCTCACTGCCCAGAGAATCTGAGGCCTTGCTAAAGTCCCAGGGCAACCAGGTAGAGCAACAAGAGGACAGCACCAGGTTCCGAGGTTGAGCCCCCACAACTCACATGAGGCTGCCCCACCTGAAATTGGCAGGATGTGACCTGCCACCTGCAGGCTTTTGATAGCTCCCTTGCCTGTGTGACCTTTGGCAGGAGGTCACTCACCACCCGTGAGGCAGCCAAGGGTCAGGGCATGGGAGGGCAGCCACCATGGTGACCTCGGTCCTACAGAGGTGACCTACCACTAGTCTTGCATTTTGGGGTTCTGAATGTGAGGTGTGGACTTCCGGCTCCCATGTGGCCCACCCCTTTCCTGGGTGTGTCTGGTCGTGCAGAGCAGCCCTGCAGCAGGGGCGAGGGCTGTGGTTGGGAGGTCAGGGCCTTGCCTCACTGTACAGACATTTCTGAGAACTTGCCAGGTTTGCACCAATGTGAAGCCACATTAAAGGGCGTCTTACCAAGAACTAAAGAGGACATGGCCTGTGGCAGGGAGAGTGGAGACTGGGTGCAGGGGAGGAATCATGTTTCTGATGATAGGTACAGAAGTCTGAAGTACAAAGTTGCAGGTGGCAAGTGGGCTGGGCGAGTTGGGTTTTTGTTTGGGGTGGGAAGTTGGCTCCATGCTGGCTAGGCAGTTTATGGAGTAGGAAACTTAAGGCTGCAGGTTTGCATAATTCTGACTCGCCTGGTAAGATGAGGTGCTGTGGGTGCTTTGTCTGTGATTTGTAGGCAATTCCAACTTTCTGTGGCAGCCCCATCAGGGTTACCATCCTTCTGGAGGGTGGTTGTGGTATTCAGGTTCTGCCGAGACAGTGGGGTCAACTTGAGGGTATGTTAGGGTCGAGGCTGCAGGCAGCCTGCGTCCTCTCTGTACCCTGATGTGTTCTTGGATTCTTACCATGTTCACTTGTATAAGGTTCTCTGGGCCTGTGACCAGCTCAGCTCTCAGCTTCCCACAAAGAGCTGCTAGCTTCAGGCCTGAGGGACTCACTACAATAGGTGGGAGAAAAGTTTCTGATCTTCTTGGGGGTGGCCTCCCCTCAGGGTACCCACAACCAACATGAGCATCCTGTGGTCTGGTATGTAATGGAGAGGCCGGGCGCTGATGGGACTGAGGAACAGTCTCTCAGCCTCACACCTGGCCTGAGCTGGCCGTCCACACCTGTGGTTTGTCTGAGGTCAGGGGTATCTCTCTGAGGTGGCTAGCCAGTGTGGCTGCCTGAAGGGTCTTCCTCTGGCCAGAATAGGTCTGTCTGTGGCTGGGAAACCAAGTGACACTCACACCCTTGACAAGTCCTGGACACCCTGCTGGCCTCTCCACACGTGACCTCACCACTGAGACCACAGGTTCTCACCTGCAACCTGGACTGCTAGTTTCTGCCAGTCCCAGCCTTACTTGCCCTGCTTGCTTAGCACCCAGTGGTCTCTAGCAGTGCCTAGCTCAGGACCAATGGGAGGGGTTGAGGGAAACCCTCTTCTGCTGGAGACAGGCTCCCTTGCACTTGGCAGGCAGCAGTTGATTTGGTGCAGAGGGACTTTGAACAGGGAAGGTTGAACCTGCTGGCGAAGATCTGCTACTGTGAACTTGCTGCCCTTAGAATTGGTAACTTTGCTTTCGTGGCTGGGGGACGCTAAGGGGTAGGATGCTTTTTGGGACTTAGCACATATGGAAAATGGGTCTAAGAGACATGGTGACCTCTGCTCGATTGGATCCTGGCTAGTGGCATTGAAATTCTGAGGGGATCAGGCGCTCTGAGCTTCAGAGGGTGGCTTCCTGGGGCCACCAAGAACTTGTGAAGTAGCCCAGAGGTCCCTCCCTAGGCCGTACCCTGGATGTGTGGAACATACTATGATGGGCCAGACTACAGGCCTTTCCACAGTGGAGTCTTTGGTTTGATGGGAGATTAACCCCAACCCAGGCTTTAGACTCAGGGTGGGGAAAGCTGTGGTAGAAGGAGTTTGAAGGTGAGAGTTTCAAGTAAGTCTTTCTGGAGGAGCTAGCCCTTTTCAGTTGACTGAAATACCTACTTGCTAAAACCCGGCCCCATCTCTAACCCATTCCTACTTGAGAGCTGGGACTCTAGAACCTTCAGGAAGAAGGGCTTTTGCCACATCCATGGGACACCTTTGAGAAGAGGCTGACCTACCCTTTCCCTGCTCCACACAGCCACTCAGTGTCCCCTCCCCCAGCGTGGGTTGGAAACATTTCTGCAGTATCAGTTGGGGAGCAGCAGTCATCTCCCCCATGCCCCTCCTACACTGGCTTCTATGTTCAGTCCCTGCTGATTTCAAGTGGGTGGAGAGACCTGAAACTCTTTTTCCATAGTAAAAGTACCTACCTGCCACTGAGGCAGGCACAGTGCAATAAGGCTCCCGTGCCCAGACCCCTTATGCCTACTCCATGCATCCACAGCCTCTTTCACATATGGGGCTTGGGCAGAGTTAATGCCTTCCCTTCCCCAATGAAGGAATTCCCTGTCCTTTTGGCCTTGGAGACGCCTGACATCACCCAGGGGCCCCTGGTCTCACAAATTTGATTCCTGGCGCCATGAGCTATAGGCCAGGCTCCAGGCAGGGCCTTGATCCCTGGGTCTCAGTTTCCTAGAGGTTGATGTAGGGAAAGCTCTGGAAGTAGGGCCTGATGCAGAGGGAGTGCCCAAGAATTGTCTGTTGCAAATATTCATCAACATGAAATAAGAGGATGTTTGTTTCTGTGGGTTGTTTTTTTTTTAATTTGTGAATTGGGTGAAGGTTTACAGACCACGTCAGTTTTCCATTCAGCAGTTCCTACACATTGTGTTTCATCTCATTGATTGCAGTCCCCACAGTGTGACATCACTCACCCTGCTTCTTCCATGTGTTTACTTTTCTGTTCCTCCTCCTCTCCTAGTTCTTCTGAACTTTGTCCTTGGGTAAATGCTGCCCTTTTTAATCTCAAATGATTGATTTTTCTAAGGTGTGCACACCTCATTGGTGTTATTGTCCCCCTTCTACACCTGTCTTATGTGGCTGAAAATTGAGCTCATGGAGGTGAGTTCAGGTCCTGACTTGAAAAGTGACTTAGGGCCATAGTCTCGGGGGTTTCACCAGTGTATCTGGCCAGTGAGCCTGTTTTTTTGTTTTTTTTTTAAATAATTTTGAGATTGTGTTCGACATTTTTCTGTCACTCTATCCAGGACCTTCTAATATGATTCATTTTAGAGCAATTGGAGTGGTAGCCAGGTACCATCTAGTTCTTCTGGTGTCAGGTTGTGGAGACCGATGTCAGCATAGTCCAGTAATTCACTGGACAAATTGTTTCTGTACATCTTAAATTTTCTTCGCTCTTCTAGACAGGGAGAGATCAAGTGCTGCACCTTAGCTGGCTACTTGTGAACTTTTAAGACCCTAGTTGCTATTCATCAAAGTAGATTGTAAAACATTGTCTTTGTGGACTATGATATGCTAATTAACTATGTTGTCCTGTTGTTGTTAAGTGCTATCAAGTCGATTCAGACTCATAGCAACCTGTATAGGGTTTCTATGGAGTGGCTGATAGGTTTGAACTGACTACCTTGTGGTTAGCAGTTCAGTTTTTATCCTGCACTGCCACACCAGGTCCATAACTGAGGTTTATTGAGTACTTACTATGGACCAGATTCTAGGATCAGTATTTCATGAGTGCAGTTCCATGTAGTCCCCACCACACCCTGATTCGTGGATTATTCTCAATGGTGCTCAGTTTTACAGGTGGGGAAACTGAGGCATGGAGCGGCAGGGTGATCTTCCAATGGACCCATCTGGCCATGGAGTTCAGTCAGGCATTGGCCTCTCCCCCTTTCACACACACAGGGCTACCTGTTCTTGGGCCTCTGTGCCAAGACCTCCAGTGGCAGGTCAGCACCAACTCTAATGTAGACCATTCTGGCCTACAGGAGCTGGTTGACTGGGTGCTGGAAGAGGAGGCCCAGAGGCCCTGTGCATTGGATGCCCAAGGCGGCCCTCTCATCCTGGAGATAGGCTGTGGATCAGGAGCCATTGCTCTCAGCTTGCTGAGCCAGCTCCCTCAGGTGAGCCCCCTCTGGATCCCTATATCCCACCCCAGGCAGGCTGATACTTACTGTCCCTCCCACCCCTCTGCCAGGAGCATCTGAGGGGATTGCATCAGAGGAGGGACAACAGGGCTGCTTTAGCTCTCTGGAGTAGGAAGAGCTATTGAACATTGCCCTCCTCTCCTGGCAGGGGTTTAAGGGAGGGCTCTGCTCTACAAACCTGGCCTCCCCAGGCTCCACTCAGTCCACATGCCCTTCTTTGTTCTTGGAACAGAGCCGTATCATTGCTGTGGATAAGGCGGAGGCCGCCATCTGCTTGACCCACGAGAATGCTCATAGGTAGGACAACTAGAGGCTGGGGGGTGCAGGGTGAGGGGTGAACTTTGGGCCTTGATCTCAACTCCTGTCCAGGATCAAACCCCTGGATGTCTAATTTCCACTCCTAAAATATGGTGGAAGTAGTGAGGATGGGTGGTGGGCACTGAGTATCTTGCTTGTCCAGGAAGGGGTCGTTGTCCCTTTGGGCCCTTGTAGCCAAGGGGAGGAGCCTGGCCTCCATGTTCATGCTATCCCCTCTCCACATCTCTCTAGGCTTCAGTTGCAGGACAGAATTCGGATTGTCCTCCTTGATGTGACTTTAGGTAACCTCCCCACCCATCTTCTCTGGGGAAGGGGTTTTGGATACAGGCACTGTTCCTTGCTAAGCACAGACACGTTGCGGTTGCCACATGTGTCTTCTAGGCTGAGCTGACCTGTGAGGGGATCAGTCACAGGGCCCTTCTGACCTTCTGAATCCCCTGTAGCTAATGAGTTTAACTAGGTCTTGTCCCTGTTAGTCCAGTGGGGCCACAGAAGAGGATGCAGGCAATCAGAAAGGGCTTCCTGGAGGCGTCACTTGAGTCTGGACTATTAAACAGGTTTTTGACAGGAAGAGGAGAGGACAAGGATATTTCAGGTGAAGTGTTATCATGACAGATCATGGATGCTTCCAGCTAGGCTGCCAACTGGGGATTCTGGGCACCATTCTGCAAGGCTTGCTTATCAGGTCCAGAGACAGGACCAAGGCATGGCTGTGGGGAGAGGCTGTTTACTCAAAAGTATGGTGGTAAGTGGAACAGCCATGTCTTTTCTCTTCGTGGATCAGTCCCTGATGTATGTCTTCTCTGACCACAGAGAGGAGCTGGGCTCACCTTCTTCCCTGGGGCCCTGTGGACCTGGTAGTCAGCAACCCTCCCTACATCTTCCACCAAGACATGGAGCATCTGGCTCCTGAGATCCTCAGGTGCTGAGTGGGGCAAGGTGGGGAAGCCAGGCTTGAGAAGGCCTAGTGAGAGGGGCAGGAGGGTGGGGGCCAAAGCGGGCGGTGGTGTAGAAAGGGTGCACTTTACAGCCTGAAGACCTCTCTGGGTTCAGTTTATGCCTTCCACTGAAGACCACTGGGTGACTCCTGAAACTCTAGGAGCCTCAGTTTCCCACCTGTAAAAGGGGGAGTGGCAGAGCCTTGCATAAAGTGAGGACTCAGTGATGAAGGAAGCCTGGGGTGACTGGAACAGAGCTCCTAATAAGTGCTCAGGAAATGAGGGCTGTTATTGTCTCAGGGTACTCCACACAGAAAGTAGCATTGTACAGAAGTCTGAGAACCAGAGAGGGAAGGCACCTTGTCCAAGACCTCATGGAGAAAGCTGGGACCAGAACCCTACTCCAGGCTTTGCCCTGTGCCATCCTGTTCCCAAATAGGGACAAAGAACAAGGGGGAGCCCAGGAGTATCTGGGTCGGGGAGGATAATGGGAGAGGGCATTTCTGACCCAGACTGTCTGTAGATGGGATTCATTGAGTGTATGTGAGGGTTTTACCTGCAGGAGGCAAAGGGATACGAGCTGCCATCCACTTGAGTCCTCTTCTTGTAAGTCCTCAGATTTGCCTCTCAGCTCAGAGCGTGAGTTCAATAGGGCCCCTTCCTCCATACTTTCAGACACTTTTTCATCCAGGCTCTCACCTACCACTGTCCTCACTTCAGCTATGAAGACCCAGCAGCCCTTGACGGTGGAAAGGAGGGCATGAACGTCATCATCCACATCCTAGCCCTGGCGTCCCGACTCTTGAAGAACTCAGGGTATGGGTGAAGTGGGTCTCCTGGGTCTATTCCCAGTAGTCTCCTTCCCTCCCAGTAAGTAGTGGGCATTCCTGGCTGCCCTTCCCAGACCTGGAAACCCAGGAGTGCCTGTCCTGGTCCTGCCTAGTTGAACCTAATTGTTTCTGTCTCTCCTCTGTAGTAGCATCTTCTTGGAAGTGGATCCCAGGCACCCAGGACTTGTTGGCAGCTGGCTCCGGAGCCAGCCTGACCTGCACCTCGAGCTCATGGCTGTGCGCAAGGATTTCTGTGGGCGGTGAGGCTCTACCTACTTCTCACAGCCCCCAGGCCATCCCCACGTGTGCTGCCTGGAATGACTGAGGCCAGAATATGGTTCCAGCTATTCCAACTCCCCACTCATCCCTGAGGTCCAGGCAAATAATGGGCCCTCATCCATGTCTCTTCAGGCCCCGGTTCATGCATATTCGGAAGTCTGGGCCCCAGTTTGATTCCCCTGAGAACGCCTGGCCAGGGCTCCAGCTTGCCTGAGTTTTTTTCCGGAATGCTGCCCCGAAGAAGGTGGATGATCCGTTTCAGAATTCTAGGTGTTCCCAGCGCTTCTTACAGCTCTGTAACTCCCCATGTTCTATGTTTCTTGAAGACTAGTGGGTTGAGGCCAGAGTGGGTATATCCTTACTGAGGCAGTAAAGAGCAGAAGCATTCACAGCCCAGTTCAGAATCTGTGACCTGGGTTCCTACTCTGGCTCCATCCTATTGTGGCTGAGGGCAGATGCTCAGTATCTCTGCTGGTGGAACAGGAATATCCCAATGCCACCCTCCCAGAGTTGTTGGGGAAGTATTAGGATATCTGACCAGTAGAAACCAATAAATAGTGACCTAAGTTTTTGTAACTCTTATATGTGGGCTTTCTTCTGCCCCAGCAGGGAGCAGTGTGGAGGAGGCACATGGGTATTCCTGGTCTTGAGTGCTTTGGGACTGGGCACTGATTGACTTGGTCCCCCACTGCCCTAGATGCACCCAACGCACTCTCCTGATCAGTTCTGGGCTTGGAGCACAGAAACCTTGTCTCAGTTTCAATTCCCAGGTGGCTCCTCCTTCCTTAGAGTGACAAGACTAAAAGTCTGTACGTTTCTGGGACCACATATTCACAGTCACTGGCTTGAGCCAGTGAGGAGTGAGCAGGACTTTTGCTCACTTTTTATTCCCAAAGCTTGTAGTTGAAACATCCCTTCCAAGCCATCCTTGGGGTGTTAAGTAACTCACCTGTCCCTGGTTGGGGCTGAGGAGAATGATAAGCCAAGGCAGAGTGGGTTCCAGGTTGTAACCTCTACTCCAGCCCTGGTCTGTGCAGATCCATGGCTGTCAGGAAGACTAAAGATAGGAAGTCCGCAGGTTGGTAGGGGCCAGTGTAAGTCTGCAATTATCAGATGGGTACTGAGGGGTGTGGCAGACCAAACTGGCTCTTTCTGCCTAACACCCTGCCCAGGCAATTTCAAGGGCCTGACATGGTGGCGTGGTAACTGGAGGCAGTGTAGTCTGACTGACTTTATCCTCTGCTGAAACCAGGAGACCTGGGTCTCAGGGTTGTGTCTTGCAGTGAAGCCTCAGGCAACTTCTTTCCCTGAGAAGTTGGCTCTCTGGCTCCAAGGCCATTATGAGGTGGCAGCCTCAGTTTACTTTGTCAGCCAAGTAGATAGTGCAGGCTAGCCTCTGCATGCCCACTCTTCAGGCAAGGAGACTGAGGCTCCAACAGAAGATATGGCCTGCCTGAGGTCCCATGGTGGGAGATGGGCAAGTGGAGAAGAGAAGTTAAGGTTCTTGCCTCTGGAAAGTCTTTGTTTCTGGGGTCATACCCAGCCTGAGAGACTTACTCCTGTTTTGTTTTTTTTAAAAAAAACCTTTTTGTTGTGAATTGAGTGAAGATTTGTAGACAAGATCATCAGCTTTACATTCAACAAATTATACATGTCTCAATAATTATAATCCTCTTCCTGCAACAAGAGTTATCCTCTCTTCTCCTGCTTGTACCTCTCCACTCTTGGTGCCTGTAGCAGCATCTCAGGATGGCTGCCCTGACACTCATGGTGATCCTTTGCCTCCTTGTCCCATAGCCTGGGTCACCTCAGCAGCACTGTTTCCCTAACATTCTCACCCTCTTGGCCTCGGGCCCATCACTGAGGAAAAACCTTGACAAGCTTTGGTATGCCACCATAGGGAGTGACAATGTTGGCAGCTGGGGGTCACGGGAGCTGAAACCATCTTTAGGGACAACTTCATTTCCAACAAACTACAGAATTTGACTTCATGGGGAAAGAGGTTCAGGCCAAGTAGATTGGCAGGCTGTGACCTCAAGCCCACAGCTACTAGCATTTGAGCCCCAATGTTGTAGCCACATCTGAGTTCAGATCTGAGGTTCGTCCCTCACTAGGTTGTGACCCTGAGCAGATGACTTCACTTTCCTCAGAGCTCAATCCCAAGCCTGAGAAACGAGACAAAGTGCTTTATCACACTGAATGGTTGTTGAGGAGCCCTTGGGGTGTTTCTTTCATGGGCCATTTTGAGTGTTTTCATTTCCTGCCTTGGAGGCTGGGCACAGGATGTTTCTGCACCCTCCACGACTGTTTAGTGCCTGGCACCCACACCTTCCCACAAGAGCAATCAGAGAGGAAGGCAGGTGGGATGTCTCTCTGGGGATGTGGACTTCTCTCTGTCCTCTAGAGATGGAGCCATTAAGAGGCTGGTAGGCTGGCAGCCCAGGACCTCCCCTCAGCACCTCCTTCCTCTTCCTCTCACAAGGTCCAACCAAGGGCCCCAAGGCCTAGGACAGGACAGCCAGGAGCTCCAGTTCAGTAAGCTGCTTGCCTGTTCGATCCTCTCCTTCCCTTCTAAAACTTGTGCTTCCTTCTCTCCTTGTATCATAGAGGTAGAGCAGCAGAACATAGAGCTGATGGTGGAACCCAGAGCATGGGCTGACTGTGCAGGATCCCTGCTGGGTGCACACTGGAAAAGTAGTTTCACCCTTCTGGGGAGATTAAGACCTTACTTCCCAGTTGGATGCTTTTCCCAGTTGCATATAGGTCTCTCCCTGGGGACCATCCAGCTGTTTTATTGAAATGTGTCCCCTAGTCCATAACTATAATAAATGCACCTTCCTTGCTTGGCCATTTCCATCTGGACTCCAGACCACCTCAGCTGTCCTAAACCCTTGGTTGGCTTCCCAATCTCAGTGGTTTCTATGTTCTGCAGTGTCCAGGTTGGAAGAGGTAGGGGAGGACAGCTATAAGAAAGACCTTGGGACTCCTCCCAAGACCCCATCAGTAAGCTCTGAGTAAGCTTCCATCAGAACAAAGTGTTCCAGGACTGACAGGGTTTGAGAACTGCTCAAACCCTCATGACTTGGGGTGGGAAAACCTTTATCCCCTGCAGAGCATTATGTCTTTCCCTGTTACCTTCACATTCTTTTCTCCACCAAACTGGACTCCTTCCTTCCCTTTGCCCAGGCAGTGTACCATGAATGTCCCTTTCAACCACCAAAACCAAACACTGTTGTAGAGTTGATTCTGACTCAGCAACCTTATACACCAGAGTAAAACTGCTCCATAGGGTTCTTTTGGGTTTTTTTTTTAAGGATTTTATTGTGGATTGAGTGAAAGTTTACAGGGCATATCATCAGTTTTACATTCAACAAATCATATACCTTGTTTCATTACATTGATTATAATCCCCT